GACATTTTCGGAGCAGCTTTTTTCAAAACTTTATTTTAAAATCTATAATACACTTAGATCCAATCAATAATCCATATATAATTATTCTTTCGATATTTTTTGTTATTTAATTAGTTACCACCATTTAGTTTTTTTTTTTTTTGAAGTTATTATATTTAAATATGCAAAAGAGAGAGAAATAGCCTCATTGGGAGGCGAGTGCTCTATCCTCTGAGCTACTACGGCTGTCATAACCATCACTGTAATTATACTAGAATTTTTACCTTGTTGTAGAAAAATATACAGGAGGGTACCAAAGTCACTAAGACTATGGGGATAGAGTGATCGCCTTCCAATGAGGTGAACCGGGTTCGATCCCGGCGATGGCTGGTCGATACGAATTCCGCATCCGGCTTGCACCGACCACATTGCTGACGTGAAATATTCTCCGTGGTAGACGGATCATGGGTTAGAATCCCCTTGCCGTCAGGCTCACCATGGAAGGTTCTCGTGGTCTTCCTCTCCATGTAACGCAAATGCGGTTTAGTTCCAGCAGAAAGTCGTCCACGAAAGCAAATATCTCCAAATACTTGATTCAGGAAATTCCATGTCTTCTGCATTGGGTTCAAAATTACGAGGATATGGAGTTGAACATTAGCAGTCACGAACCCAAAAATTGGGTTGACTGTTTAACGATGGTTATAATATAATAATAGGAGGTTACTAGATGTGGTTATTAAAGGAAGAATTGTTTTTGGCAAATACTATAAGTCACAAGTATCTTATTTACAAATATCTCTTGAACAGATTATAATTTATTATGCTTTGCACAGGTTGGACAGGTTATAATTTATTATGCTTTGCACAGATTGAACAGGTTATAATTTATTATGCTTTGCACAGGTTGAACAGGTTATAATTTATTATGCTTTGCACAGGTTGAACAGGTGCTTTGCATAAGCAAATAATCAAATCTTTTGTAATAAGATTAATTTAGTAGTAACCTATGCATTGGAGGGAATGTAAAATCCCTGATTTTATGAAAAATATTGTATTTACATCACTGTATCGTCAAAGCATTATAAACATCCTCCGACTAAACAGTAACAATCACTTTACTTAATGGTGACGTAAGCAGTAAATGCTTTTTTACCCTTTTAATTTTTAAGTTTCTCTTTTATTACCTGTAATCTGTTTATTAATATAATCAACGTTGAGTAACTTGAATTAACGCAATTCTTGAGCTGCGATACACATTGCCTTGACTGTGGCGTGTATGAACAAAATTATACTTCCATATGAACCTATTTGCAGTAATCTATCTTCTTTCCAATTTTAATGCGAAACTTCTTCTTATAATTCCCGTTTTAAACATTTTAAAACACTTCAGAATAATGCATGTAAGTCATCAAAATTTAATAAGCGAAAATTTTTCAAAATAATTTCACGCAGCATGAAGTCAGTCTAATTTAATTTTATCTTAAAGAAATGTTGTCTAATCTATCCACGAATTATAAGAAATTAAGAAAATTGAGAAACATTTCTTATGTATATTTTCCCCTGCAATCAAGGAACTCTTATGTTTCAAAAAGGAAAATCTTTCCACAGGAAGATAATAAAAAAAGTAGATTAGCTTATGGCTTGCATAGTATACTAATTGATGCATGAACATTATGAACATTACATGAACATTATCTTAACATGAAGTAATGTATTAGAATTACGTTCTGTTAAAGAAATAAGTTTTAATTTTACTTTTCAAATTTAGAAAGCAATCTAAACCAAAAACGTATCAAAAGCAGAGTAAATTGGAACGCAACTAAATATACATTACAGGTAATTGAATTTAATCTTTAAATTCGAGATATAGCAATATTTTACAAGAGAACAATATTTTTATGACTTAATTAGGTTGTTAACTGCAACTCCCTTGCAGAAAAATCTCGTTTATAGCAATAAGGAATCAAAACCCGAAGTTCAGTTTTATCGAAAGTCATTTAGAGCTTATTGATGAAACATAAAAAAAAACAACAAAAAACAAAAATTCATAAATGGTGAAATTTTCATAAGAGGTGTAAATTCATAAAAGGTGAACGGTAAAAAAGGTAAAAGTCTTATATATTTCATTCGCTTAAAAGTTTTTAAGATAGATCGAAATAAGAAAGAGGTAAAATTTGAAATTATCGATCTCCTGATTAAATTATTCAGACCATATTTTCCAAATTTAACCCTTCGTACCATTGAAATTAAAAATTAGTATATCATTAGTATGTCTTTGCGGCTGCCACTATATAAAGCTCTCCAACTCTTCCTACACTAGAGTGAACAACTATGGTGGTTAGAGCATCTTACTACGAATCTGGAGGCCCTTGACTTGAAACTTGCAGGCAGACATCAAACATTTGTCTTACTCATTTCACCAGCACACGCATTTTTTCGAAAGACGTGTATATGTAGCCGGTAAAGTATGAAATCCGGCATTCTATAGAATGTCTAAAACTAGCCGGCAATGCATGAAACGATTTATATTTCACACATTTCCTAGGCATTCTATAGAATGCAAAATGAGAAACAGGCAAAGTATAAAATATTCTGTGGCCATGCCAGTAAAGGTGATGAAATGGATATTTTGTGCAATATTTGTTTCTGAACTGAAAATAAATGTGACATAAATGTGAATTTCATACGTGATCATTTTGTTTCCCATAATGAGAAAGACATAAATTATGTTTTGTACAACTTTAATTTTTCTTTACGCATATTGAATAAATTTTTTTATGGCACTCTCATTATTTTTTGGGAATAACATTTTTATTTTTGAGAAATGAACATTATTTACTTAATAACCTCAAAAGTATTTTTTTTTCATACATTGCCTAAATAGCATCCAGCATTATATACAGTACCTAGGCATTCCATACAATGCCTATGAAAAGTATGCAATACTTCTTACATTTCATACTTTGCCTAAAAACATCCGGCATTGTATACAATGACTAGGCATTTTATACATTTTCTACAAAGCTGACGTTTCATACTTTGCCGGTAACATATATACTCTTTCAATTTTGAATGTTTAAACAATACAAATTTGACTATTGTTTGTTTAGGAACTATTTTGACACAATTTTGCTCAATTTTGAAAAAGCATTTTCATACTGTGTGAATATTGATATTTTCTCAAAAAATACCGTAATCTACAAACTCAATTTTATTATAATTCCAATCATATATAGTAAAGTGAAGAAAAAACATAAATAATAAATAAATTAAAAAATACGTAAAAATGGAATAAACAAAGAATAGGTTTGCGAAATTAATAACTTGTTAACTTCTTAAGAAACAGATTTGAAGATATTTTTTTTTAAAATTAAGTATTGAATTATAGTTTTTTTTATTTATTGTCAATCTAAATTAAAAAATTTTCTTTCAATATTTTTTATGAATTAATATTTTGGTAGATAAAATAAAATGCGTGAAATGATTTGGTTAAATTTTTGGAATCTCTCTATGCAAAAATATTNATGGATATTTTGTGCAATATTTGTTTCTGAACTGAAAATAAATGTGACATAAATGCGAATTTCTAACGTGATCATTTTGTTTCCCATAATGAGAAAGACATAAATTATGTTTTGTGCAACTTTAATTTTTCTTTACGCATATTGAATAATTTTTTATTATGGCACTCTCATTATTTTTTCGGACTAACATTTTTATTTTTGAGAAATGAACATTATTTACATAATAACCTCATCAGTATGTTTTTTTCATACATTGCCTAAATAGCATCCAGCATTATATACAGTGCCTAGGCATTCCATACAATGTCTAGGGAAAGTGTGCAATACTTCTCACATTTCATACTTTGCCTAAAAAAATCTGGCATTGTATACAATGACTAGGCATTTTATACATTTTCTACAATGCTGACGTTTCATACTTTGCCGGTAACATATATACTCCTTCAATTTTGAATGTTTAAACAATACGAATTTGACTATTATTTGTTTTGGAACAGTTTTGACACAATTTTAATCAATTTTGAAAAAACATTTTCCTACTGTGTGAATATTGATATTTTCTCAAAAAATACCGTAATCTACAAACTCAATTTTATTATAATTTCAATCATCTATAGTAAAGTGAGGAGAAAACATAAATAAAAAATAATTTAAAAAATACGTAAAAAATGGAATAAACAAAGAATAGGTTTGCGAAATTAATAACTTGTAAACTTCTTAAGAAACAGATTTGAAGATATTTTTTTAAAAAATTAAGTATTGAATTATAGTTTTTTTTATTTATTGTCGATCTAAATTAAAAAATTTTCTTTCAATGTTTTTTATGAATGAATTTTGTTGAATATGTTGAATATGTTTTTTATGAATTTTGGTAGATAAAATAAAATGCGTGAAATGATTTGGTTAAATTTTTTGAATCTCTCTATGCAAACATATTTAGTAAAAATTATTTAATTATTTCAGTACAGAACAAAACAAAAAAAAAACATTAGCCTAAGACAAGTAAAAGAGTTACAAATATTTCGCAGTATAAATTCAATTAAAATTTACTCAGTTTCCGCAAGAATTATTAATGTTTCACACTCATTAAAAGAAGTATTTCTTTAAAAACCCTATCAATCTTTTTAGAGCGACAAGATGATTTGCGAAGGTATAATTAAATGGAAGTATAAATTAACTCCAATTGAAATTGCTTCTTATTTTGATTTCTTAATTTTTGATTTTTTTTTCTTGCGTTCATATAAAATAATAATACTGTTAGTAGTCCATCGCTATCTATAAAAATGCATTCCGTTTCTTTTTAAAAAAAGGTATTCAATGTGGATAAATATTCGCAATGCATAAAATATAAATTTTTCTTCTTTTTTTTTTTTTTGAATTTTTGTTTTATCTGCAAACGATGAGCTTCTAAAACTTCATTTTCATTTACAAGGTAATACAATCTCAGGGAACTCAATTTAAGCGTACCATTAAAGAAAATAGCAAGAAGTAATCGAAAACCCATTAAAGAAAACAACTACTAGATATCTTTCTCTGTAATGGACTTCTCTGTTCTCCAAAACTTTCCTTCTCTCCCCACCCCCACATCACGTGACTGAAGGCAACCATCATTTGCTCCTAAATTGTTCTCTCCGCATCTTTCATCCAACTATCATCTTCTTCATCACCAGCATCCGTGAGAAGCTAACTGTTGCACCTCGGATAAGGAGAAACAATAGCCGTCAGTCAGCGCCATCTGGTGAGACAATCCATCAACAACCCTGATCTCTTTTTACGTGAAAGAGCATTCCGAGTTTGACATCTCTCCGGTAAAGTCCTGTGGCTTTAAATCGGGAGAAAATCTGGAGAATACGGATATTCTCGAATGATTAGAAGAGGAGAAAATGAGAGGAAATATTTCCTTTTGAACTTTGAATGGGTGTTGTGGAGTGACTGAAAGAAATAGGATTTTCAACTCGATTCCGTTATTTTTGAAAGACAACTTTCATTACAAGGTTTCTAAAAGGAAACATGAAAGATACCACGTGGATTTTATTTGGGATAAAAGCTGTGATTATATTGCTTACAGCTGTTCCCGGAGTTTACTTACAAGGTAAGGCTTTTAAAACTAATGTCTAAATTGAAAAGTTTGAAATACTAAAAATGCTAACTGCATAAAATCGAGTTCCATTCAAAGGGAATATTCTGTTTTGAAAAGGTTATTCAATACGTTTAAAATTTTAAAATTCGCACAAACTTTAAGAGAAAAACGCATTAATATTAAAGCTAAAACTGACTACGAAATTAATGGATATTACTTCCACCTTCAGAATAGAGAGAATAGATATTACTTCCAGATTAAGGTAATACTTCTGAATAGTTAATACTTCCAATTGAAACAATTTTTTTTCCTCTAAAATAATAAGACACCATTAAAATAATATAAATGAAAACATTTACTTACACAAGACAGCATAAATTTTCACATGTTAATAGAATTTATTATTCACTTTTTTTTAGAATTCATAAAATTCATATTTTTTTAATTAAAAATATGTGCAATACACAGACCGGAAAGACAAATCGAATGCTCGTATTGCATTTAAATTTATCGTTACTTTTCAGTATTTAATTTAATAATAATATTTTTGTATATCACACTGCAAAAAATCACACAATGTGATATAAAAAATTAATTTTGTATACCACACTGTATCACAACATTGTGTAAAAGTGTGTCAAAATCGCTCCAAAATATAGTCGAAATTTTTATTCAAAATTGAAACATTTGAACAGTACATAGAACTTTCAAACAGTCTTTAAATTATGAATCTCCCTTAATCCATTTATTAATTTTTGTGTAAACTACATAATCTTAAACGTGATGTGAAGGGAGTTAAGTTTGAGAGAAATGTCCATGAACTGCTGGTGTGATTAGTATAGCAGACCTCCGATTGGAATCTATAACCATCATAGTTGTAGGGGAAGCCCGGGCAAGATGGACCGCTTAAGGAAACTTGGTTCAAAAAATAGTAAACTAGAGCAATTTTATATTTTTTATATTGTAAACATATAGTGGGAACATTGCTCTTAAATATCCCATACAGAAAATAAGTAAATAATAAAGTTCAATAATAATAATTTAACCTAGACAAAAGAAGAACTTTGTCCCATCATGCCCGGGCTACCCGGGCAAGATGGGACACATAATTATATTTCAAAAGTCACAGAAATTAATGTCAGAATAAAAGAGTAATTGATAAAAAAACGTTCCGAAACATCACAGTTACTGCATAAGAAGCGGCCAAAACCGGAATAAGCACTGTGCGCTTCATGAACCCATTCTAATCAATCTCAATATTGTCTGTCAATTAATTAATTATAAATTATTTTTATGAATTTTTTTTAAATTATTTGTTAAGTAATATTTGATAGTTCATATTTTTTTAATATTAACTTATTCTTTATGCTTTTGCCAAATCCGGAGAGTTTAATTTTTATATTACATTTTCATTCTACTTTGGCTGTCCCATCTTGCCCGGTTCATCTTGCCTGGATAGTACAATTTTAAAAAAAAATTATCTGCAAATTTGTTCAAACAAATAAATTTTAATTTTCTCTACTCATTATGTTTGTACAATAATAACACTACAGTGCTACAAATTTGAAAACTTTCTTGCAATGTATTAAACAAATAATAACAGCATATAAACCTGGAAAAATATTTTAACACGTTATAAGAAAAACAAAACAATGCGTTCATTTCGATAACACCTTGTGAACTGACGAAAACACTTGTGCGTATTGAGAACAATAATATTTTCTTACCGAATACGCACTTTAAATGTCGCTACCGTGATACGCGTAAAAGAAAAAACGATGTCCCGTCCAGCACGGGTGTCCCGTTTGGCCCGAGCTTCCCCTACTTCAAGGGGGATTAGAATGATTTATATATTCCTTTTATTCAAGCTTTTAAGATATAGCGAAATGACCCAAAAATGAAATTAAATTTACCAATGTCCTGACTAAGCTGTTGGAACTAATTTTTTCCGATTTGCAACCCTTTATACCATTGAAATTGGAAATTAGTAGGTCATTATGTGTCATTGCGGCGGCCACTTTATAAGGCTTCTTAATTTTCCCTGAACTGGGGTGTACAATTATGATGGTAAGAGCACCCTACTACGAACCCGGAGGTTCTTGGTTCAATCCTACAGACAGCCATGGAATATCTGTCCGAAAAATTTCTTCCTTCGCTTTAATTTTGAAACTATGCATTTCGAACAAAAATGAGTATATTCTGTTACAATTTTGAATGCATTCGGAATTTAAATTCAAATATTATTTGTTTCGGAGCTATTTCGGCACTCTTTTGTTCAATTTTGACAAATCTCTATTGTTTTTTTCTTGTTTGCGTATTTTGCAGAGCACATTTTGTGTATTGACAAACGATTCTAAATTGTTGTTGTGTTTCATGTCGTGTTGCCTGGAACAGTGTTTCCCAAACTTATGACTTTTGTGTACCCTTTCTAAATTTTTCGTAACGCTGTGTACCACTAATAAAAAAATGAATGTATTTTTTACTATAAAAAATTGTACAAACATTAAAAATCACAACTGGATGCTGACACCACTAATTATTAACTGTTAATTCTGCAAAAAATAGCCAATAGAAAAATACGTAGTCGTAGATTTTAATGGCTAGATTTGTTACTAAATAAAAAATTTTGAAATTTTCACTTGTTGCAAGATATTTCGCATAAGAACACGTCCCCCCCCCTCTAAACGATTCCCGTACCCCTGCGGGTACGCATACTACACTTTGGGAAACACTGGCCTAGAACGTATTATTACTTCAAGATTATAGTTGGAAATCTTTTTTCTTTAAATTGCTATTCATAAGGGCAACTATGCGTAAATATGACAATTTTGCTGTATTTTTTTAATCTTTTCCGCTTTCTTTGATAATATTAATTTTAAATTTTTCGAAACAGATCCATATTATTTTGCGAAGCATAGGTTAAATTTCATAATCACTTTATTGAAAATATTGAATTTTCCTATAATAAATTTGAAAACGTAAAAAAAGTAACACAGTATAAATATTTTGAAAAAGGAATTTTAAAAAGAATTTAAACAAAATAATTAAAGTTTCTCATAGAAGACAGTGCGTTACATAACATTTGCATATGAATTTCTCATTATAGGTACACCAATTTTAATACAGAAAAGTTCATTTTATATATCTCATATGAAGCGTAATATTAAATAAATAAGGAATTATTTTCCTGGTTTCAGATAAAATAACTTTCAATTGCATAATCTATGTCAGGGAGAACACATTTTAAATCAATTCATTATTATTAGTGATTTAAATCATTAAATAAATAAATGTAATGATGTTTTTCATGCTTTTCAAAAAATTTTGAGTAAATAAAACAATTCAAATAGTGAATAGTGTGAGTATTAATCAATAAATTTCATAATATACTGAAATAAAAGAAAACTATTAGTTAACAAAGACAAAGAAAAAGCTAAAAGTAACACCGAAGCTTATCATCCCTTATTGTGATCAGTAAGCGGATGAGTGATCACTTTGATCAGTCAGTGTAGGGACTGAGGGTGCACAGTATCGGTCCTCTTTAAACTGTTGTACCGTAAAGTGCTCGACTTCGCGCGAAGGTCGCCTGGCTACCGAAGCAGTGGAGCCAATTTCTCTACAGAGGATCAAAATTGCGATAATAGATCGGATCATCTTCAGGGATGTTTCCTAGACCGTCTCCAATAGCCCATTGTGCGACGTAAAAATAATAGTACAATAAGTACACAATAGTACAATTCTTATACAATAGTACAATAGTTATATAAGGTAGGACATGTGGTTATCCTCTTCATAACCGCATATAGGATAAGGACATACTTCGATAGGGAAGATAATCACATAAGCAAGAAAAGAAAACTATAACAAATAATTTTAATCCTTCTAAAAATTAATATAAAAATATATGCACGCTGGAGGCTGCAAATTAATTTATAAACAAGGAAATTCAAAGTTGAAGAAAAAAAAAAAGGTTTGAAAGATATTATTTTAATTTAAATGTAAAAAATTTTATCTTTCTTAAAGAACTATGATTTTTCAAATAATTCCTTTAAACAATACACGTTTCTTATACTTTGAATTTTAATCTTCAAACACAGCAAATAAATCAGACTTTTAAGAAGCTTCACTAACATTGCATTTGCAGTTAAAAATTTGCACTTGAAATATCTTTTAAAAAAATATTAGGATAACTTAAGGTGTATTAGGATAACTTTGGCATAGTAAACAATTTTTATGAAATAATCCCTCCTTAATGATATCATCTACGTAGTTGATAAAATTTAACTTACGTACCAAATAAATAGAGATAAAAATTAATTTTCGGAGACCTTTAGTGTGTATGTTTAGGAGGGGATATAATTTTGAGGAGATAAGAAAACATGTAAATATTGACATTCTGTTTCCAACTGGAGTATTTGTGTAAATTCGGAGCAACTTTGATCACTCATTAGATACTATTTTATTCCAGTTTTGTTTGCATAGTTATATTTTTAAAATGAAGCTTTAAAATTCTGCATCCTGTGATAAGTTTGATTTATAAATATTTCATTTAATTTACATACATTACCATTTTAAACATACATGCATTTAAAATGAATAAAACGAAAATAATGAAAATAAAAGAGAAGCAATTTGCCGATCTTCGTTCGACTGCAATTATGACGCATCATAAAAACTGAAATATAGCTCTAAACTACTTCTTAATCTGCGTAAAGATATTATTTAACAACGATATTGAACAGTTTATTTGTTAACAGAAATTATTCGCTCTTACCCTTTTATTTCTGCCCAATTAATAACTCAATTTATTTCACCTTTTCATTTCCCACGCGAGAAAAGGACTTCGATTTAGAAATTTGTAAACATATATCTTAAAGCCCATGTTTATAAATGTTCAAGCGCTTGATATCTTAGTTTTCAGTTTTAGATATGATATTTAAATGATTGATTTGGTAATTATTTTCGTACAAATGGTAACGGCTTACCGGAATGAACTTATTACCACACATTTA